TCAGAGTAAGGAGGTTTGGCAGTTCATTGCAGCAAAAAAAAAAAAAAAAAAACTGTAAAAAAAAAAAAAAAAAAAAAAAAAATTTAAAAAGAAAACAAGAATTAGCAAGAATGTAGAGAAAGTGAAACCTTTGTACACTAGTAGTGGAAATGTAAATTGATAAAGCCATTATGGAAGATAATATGAAGGTTAATCAAAAAATTACAAAAAGAACTATCGTATGATTCATCAGTCTTACTTTGGGGTTTATGTCTAATGAACATAAAATCACTATCTTGAAGTGATATCTGCACTCCCTTGTTCATTGCAGCATTATTCACAACAGACAAGAAATGAGAACAATCTAAATGTCCATCAACACATGAGTCAATAAAAAATGACATATATGTATTTATATATGTATATTTATAATACATGATATGATATATGTCACATATTTTATATGAATGTAATTCTGCCTTAAAAAAGGAATGTTGCCATTTCCAAAAACATAGATGAATCTGGACGACATTATGCTAAGAGAAATAATTCAGACAAAGGTAGACAAACACTGCATGATCTCAATTATATATGGAATCTAAAAAATAGACGTATAGAGAGGAGAATAGTGGTGACCAGGGGCTCAGGGTTGGGGAAAATGACACATTGGTCACATGGTGCAAAGCTGTTGTTATAAGGTGAATGAATAACTACTGGAAAGCTAATGTGCAGAGTGGAGACTATAGCTAGTAATAATGTATTAAATAAGTCAAGTTTGTTAAGAAAGTAGATCTCAAAGGTTCTTACCACAAAAAAATAGTAATTATGGGAAGTGATGGGTGTGTTATTTAGCTTGATTGTGGTAATTATTTCACAATGCATACATATATCAAAACATCACATTATGCACCTTAAAATACATATATATTTATTTGTCAATCATACCTAAATAAAGGCAAGAAAATATTAATTGTAACCAAAATAATATCTAGCCACATGTAAATTTTATTTAAAATTCCTTTAAATAAGTTCTAGATATGTAAATCCAAATTGATAAAACTGTTAGCAGTCAGGGAAGTTCTAATGAGCAAGCATAGTGTAAAAACTAGAATTAGATATTTGGCTAAAGTATCTTAATAAATAAGAGCCAATTAAAATATTTTCAGAGGTAAAACTATTGAGAGACTGGATTATAAATAAGAGATTATTAATATTATACCTTGAGAAAAGGATAACATTTCCAGGTATGAAGTTAAAATAAAAATGAATGTGTAAGAGATTTGATATGAGAATATCAACTCATGGTGGACATTGAAATAAAGAAATTACCTAGTCCTTGGATGTATCATTTTCTAAAGTATTTAAATCTTTAAAAAGTGTAATTGCATACATTTTATTTAAATCAGATTTTATTGTTTTAGACATTTTGGTTACAGTGTGTTTCTTTGTCTCTCCCTAAAAAGGGATAGAGGTAATCCTTTTCCCCCTACAATGCTCATCACATCCTTAAGATGAGGGTCTCCCCCCGTCAGATCCCTGTTGAACACTACGATTATTTGAACACCATAGTTTTAGGCTGTCAGTACCAATTTGATGGCAAGTAGATGTGAAGCTCTGGCAGAGCGGGGTGGCAAGGGGAGCAGGGGCAAGATATGTAACCCTAACAATATTTGTACCCACAGAATTTGGGAAAAAATAAATAAATTAATTAAAAAAATAAATCCGATTTTAAAAATCTGGGCTGCTTGAACAATTTCTCTATAGAAAAAAACCCTCTATTTTTAAGAAAATTCTTTTTATCACTAACTTGCTCAAAATTGGTTGCACTCTGGCTGCATACTTTGGAGAATATCCATCATTCTTTTATCAGAGCAGATTTGCACCAAAGGAACAACAGTGGCATGGGCATGAACGACAAGATTCTGGATACTCAGGATCAATGGGCTGTACATCCATCTATGGGATGAAGAGGCTGAGATGATAAGGTCCACCAAGTATGTGACTACAAAGAAGCTCACCAGCAGCAGGATGGTCTGGGTGGCCCTTTTCTCTGGGGAAACTCTGGGAGAGAGGCTGGTGCCGTGAAGGTTCTGGGATTGTCTTTGATGCCTGGACAAAAAGACCACCATGTATGCACTCGAGATGAGCATGATTCCTACAAAAAAGGCATCTCTGGATAATATTAGAGTTAAAAATACTCCCCTGATAATGGCATTCATGGGAGAGATTGAGCAGTATGTAGTGGCCTTAAGTAGATTGGTCTGGGTCACATTGAAAGCAGCCACAGTGAAAAATATCATGTTACCACTGAAAGACAAATTGAGGGGCCATAGAAATAAACAAACACTGATAATGTTATTTCTGAATTTATGTTTAAACTTCGACAGCCAGGAGGTGCTGGGGCTGATGGTGATGGCCTGGAACACACTCAGGTGGCAAGTGGTGCAGATAGAGAGGCCTCTCACCACTCTGTTTATGTAGAACAAAGTTTTACATTTGAAGTCATTCAGAAAACGCAGTGATTCAAACGTATTTTGAGATGAAGTAAGTACCACAGTGAGAAGCATCACTACATGAATGAAGGCCAAGTGACAGCTGATCAGGTCATGAGGCTTAGGCCTGTGATCCTGAAGAAGTATGAAGATAAGGAAGAAAAGAAAAGAGATATTGGCCAAAAATCCAGTGGTTGCTTGGACCAAAAAGGCATTTTTAATTATACAATGAGTGGAAAGTGTATCCATCCTGCTGATGTAGAGGAAACATAATTCCTATATCTGGAGAAAAAAAAAACAATATATCTCACATCATTAATGTTTGTTCTTCAGTGTTTAAAATTATCACCATTATTATTATTTTAATTTGAACCACTGGTTTTTGGTTAATTCTGACTATCTCATGTAAATTCTGGATAGTCCTGTCTCTGCACTATTTTCTACATCAAATAACATATATGCAGAAATTAACATATCCACAATCATGCCTGTATAGAGTGCATACCTTCTCAACTCCTAATATGCCTGGGCCTCCCTTTTAGAAATTATATTTTTGTTATTCTCTGTTCCCTCATTTTATATCCAGCACCAAGTATAGTAATGAACATATAAAATTACTCAGTGTAAAGCTTGTCCTTACACCAAAAAAAATTACTCAGTGATATTTATATAGTTGAATTGAACAACAATTTTTGAGCATGTAGAAACATTTCTAAAATAAGGAATTAAAAATTCAGTTAACTTGTTCTCACAATCCTTCACTTTAACACATTCTATTCTTCATTACCCTTTCACAGTTTTCAACCCTGGTGATTCTACTGAACCGACTATCATAATTAATGATAATGTTCCTATTTTTAAGCAACAGATTAGCACTCTTGATCTCATAAGAAATCTTATTTCCTTTACATAAATTGTAATGTATTCCAAGTATCTCAAACATACTTTGGTTATCTTTGAGGTGGAGGACATTACTGTCCTTACCAAAAACCTGCTAACTGTATTACCTAAAAATTTTCCTGGCTCTCTCCAAGTTTAGTTTTCCTCAGAGATACTTTTTGATACTTTTTTCATCTAAGAACAAGATTACTAATGTCCACCTCTCAGTTATTAAGAATAAAAGTTTTTAATCACTTTACGACAACAATGAGGCATCAGTGATCATATGTTTGGTCCTTTCCTGAGACTTCACTTACTCCAGGGATACTCTAAAGTGCCTAGTAAAATTCTGTCTCCAATAATAAAGATAATTCCTCTAAAGTTTTGTTAGAATATTTCCAAAACCAGAATATCTTGTAAAATTTCACAGAATAATTTTTCAGTTATTCTCTTAGATCACTTAGCTTGGATTCAGGCATCATTATTTTATCAATTTAATTTAATCCAGGGCTTAGAACAATTTATAATTATGAAATAGAATAAAAAAATACTCAGAGAAAAAGTATGTCCAACTATATATTCAAGTTTACTTATCATTATACTGTTATATAAATAGGTGAGACAATGTAGAAATTTTGACAGTTAACATTCTTTGATAATCAGGAATTAACGCTGAGGTAGAAAATTGCTCTAAATTGATTAGACATGTACAATTTTACAAAGGATACATTTTATAGTTGACTAAATGGTTCTTTCTCTTCTTCCAAAATCTTAATCTAGTAAGAGCATACATTAATCTTACCTGAAAGAACAAACCAAGGAGTTTCTACTAATATGCAGTGGCATTCTTGGCACTGTTGGGTTGAGAATCAAGACCAAAGAGGAGTACTGCCATAATATTAAATAAATGGTTTAACATTCCCCACATATTAATATTCCCCACATATACTCCAGTACTAGTAAAAGAATATTTAGGCATGAACTAATTATATATGGAAAATGATCTGATTAGATAGCATAGACAATAATTTTAGTATTTTATTCTCTATCAACAGATCATGCCCTCTAACTCATGCCCTTCTCTTTGTAAATGACAATTACATATTGCAAAAAACTTGGTCTTCTGGATCATCAAATGGTGTACTTCTCCATGAGATTCTTGAGGGCATTGCCACTGAGCCTGCACAGAAAAGGATCATGGTCCCCATGGAATAGGGTGTACAAATCATTAATTTTAATAATAAATAAGCTGTGTTATATTTTTGAAATTTATCTCCACTGCCAGAATTAAACAGATAGTTACTTTCAAAATATAAATTTTAAACTGTGTGTCCTTTATATTTATTTGATAATTATGACAACTCCATTATGAGTGAATTATAGGATTTGTAATAATATATTGATAAATTGGGAGTAATGAAATAGAAGAAAAATTTATAGACGTTATTTACATTTTGGTTATAGTGCAACAAAGAATTGGGTTCTACCTGTTACATTAAAAAAAATCTGAATGCACATCTTAGTTTTCATTATGGGAAGTGACAGTCAGAGACTGTTGGGGCTTAGAGTGAAGCTCTTGAGCACTCTGAGTAAAAAGAAAATGCAGATTACATTTACTCTCGGACTCTCACCTTAGACTGTTCTCAATCTTGTAAGTCCGAAAGTAGACACATAGTTATGAATAATGGTGGAAAAAATAACACCATTAAATGCACCTAGAAAAAAACTCATCATAAAGTATGAGGGCATAGTTCAGACATTTGAAATAAAGATAAAATGTATAGAAAGGAGGGAATAACGTAAAAAACCGACAGCTATTTGCCTAGAATGAATATGAAATTTTAAAGACAAAGTAGTTTGGTAAAATCTATTTTCTTATCTATATAACAATGTTTAATTTTTGTAGTAGTGTTATTTTATTAGTTTTATGATAAATTCATAAATAAATTTTATTTGTAAATATTATGAATGTTATTTATGAATGATGCCACTTGAAAGTGATATTTGTACTCTGCTTACTTAGATTTAAAAATATAATCTATTTAATAAAAATCAGATGTTTTATTATTATATTAAAAGTGTCATTTTTATTGTAAATTTCTCCATATTCATTGAACAGCCTTATAAGACCTATGACTGATCATTGACAGCAAAAAGTGAGTACGAGGATTTTAAGTTCCAAGTCAAGGGGTTTGATTGGTGAGTGGCAATTAAGTGGCAATGTAACAAATATAGCAGGCAAACTGAGAAAAGCAGAACACATTACCACCAACATTAATTCCTTAAAATTATCTTATGAGATACACAAATGTCAGAAGAATAAACACGATAAGCATTAGATGTCATTTTATGATTGCAATGCAGGCATTAACATTTCTTTAGAAATTGAACTTAGTTTATGGTACCCTTGGAAGCACAACTCTTGCTGACAAGGATATTGATAATTACCAAATATTTAAATATCGGCTGTCCTGTGGGAAAGACTAGGCAGGAAAAATGTCACTGCAGAAGTAGGAGACAGAGAAGCACTGGAGGGACTTGATCAAAATTCTGTGCTGTCAATTTTGGAAATCCTTAAAAATCATGTTTGAAGTGTTTTCTTTATGGTTTTTATTTTGTTTGTTTGCTTTCAGATTAGCCCACCCAAAAAGATACCAGTGAGTGGGAAACTCTTTTTTTCTAAAGGCTTGAAAGTTATTATACCATCATGTCCCTACGCATTATAGTAAAGAGATGGTGAGAGTCATAAGTGTGTCAAACACTAAATTTAGAGAAATATTTTTAAGTTAGAAATTGAAATTTGTAGGATTGCATTATTTTCTCTTCATGTACACTGAATAAAGATATTTGAGGTTATTTTTCTCTGACATTATTCTTCTTAAATGAATAAAATCCATATATTTATAGCATTTAGAAATGCTTTAATTCCTTTGTCTCAGGTTCAAAGACAATACTATGTTGTACTATTGAATTTTCTTGAGGCTTTGATGCCATCATTGGTCACAAATGTGCAATCATTATTATTACTACTTTTTATTTCTGTTTCATTACCTTTACCTCATTCTCTCTGCCTTCCATTTTAAAAACCAGACAGTAGAATGGAAATATCCCTCCTGTAATCAGTCATTAATTTGTGTATTTCAAGAATGAGTTGAAATATCACACTTGTGAATATATGTTTTAATAAGCAAATTCCAAATTTGAAACTTTCAGAGGAGACTGTAAATATACAAAATTTAGAATATTTTTAATATTAATGGAATGCTCTGTCTTTTAAATTGTGCAAATTATTATTCTCTCATTACTAACAAAGTTACCTATACTAATGTACAAAACATTTTACACCTTTTAATTTATTAAAAAATATAAGATAATAAAACTGAATTCATATAACTATTTGTAAACATGCTTAATATTACAATCTCCTATATCTGTCATGTCATAATTAACACTACTGACATTTGATAAATAGCAAACGGTGGTATTTTAGTTTCATAATAACCAGGAATATATCCTGCACTAGCAATTATTTTAACAGTATAAAACAATATGATATTTATGATCATTTGCTAAAAGCTAATTAATATAAAATGTTGAAAAAATTATTTCATATTTTATGTCATCTTAATTTTAAATGGTTGTAAATAGTATAAATACACTAAAGTTTTTCTAAATTTAAAAAATTTAAAAGAACAATGAAGAATGACTAAATCCTTCCGAATTAGTTCATATTTCTTTTGTTATACAATGTAAAATTTTACCGATGTACATGCCATAAGTCAAACTAAAAAAAAAATAAAATGCAATTTGAATGGCAAATTACAAAAGTCTTTCAAATTTATAAATGTATAGCCTTATAAAATGTATAAAGTTTATCTTTTCTTTTGGAAACATCTAGTTATTATTCACTGAACTATAATACTGAGATTATGAAAAGAGAATTCTTTCAGCAATTTGTTGAGATAATTCTGATACCCAACTACCCACCTGAATATTAAGCTCTCTCTGTTAGTAATGCTGACAAATAGATGCTCACCCAGCTGTGTCTCCAAGTACATCTATGTATGAGAGATAAAGTCCCCAACATATAATTTTAAAGAAGTCATGCCATCAGCTCATCTCCCTCCAGGCCCATAATTTTTTCTGGCAGCTACAGAAAGGATGCAATTATTACCTTTGTGATTGTTAGAAAGGGAGCCACCAAAGAGAAAACTGAACTTACCTAATTGCTGGAAAACAAAATAAGAACAGCAGGGTCCCCAAATTTCCCCATGTGAGCTCATTTTCTAGGTAACTTAGGCCCAATGAATTGTATGATCTCAGACTTTGTCAACAAAACAGGTATGTCCCAATAATACAATCTTCAAAGTGAGTACAAGAGCATGTCCGATTTCCCAGTGCATCCCTGCTCATTCAAATGTTTCATCATGGCTTTCATATATGTTCCACATTGATCTCTAGTTGTCAGGGTCAGAACTAGATCAAAAACTCTTTGTGGGAATTAGAAAAATGCCACCTCTACTAGATCTACATAGGCAAAGTGCTCTGTTCCCCAGAGGACACAACTCTGAGCCAGGGCACTAGATATGAAAAGCAAAATGTAGGCTGTTTTTTACCTTTCTTTTCCACTAACTTGTCCAGGTGCACTTATTAAGAACAAGAGAATACCTCCATCCCAAGCACCATGAGTTTTGAGTTGTGAACTGTCCTCTCCAAGACATTCTACTTAGATGTGAGGTGTGAAGCTGTTCTGGTGGCAGGTCCACAACCCACCCCCAGCCCCCTCTGGCGGTTCTGTTTAGAGGAATGTTTTATTTCAAACCCTCAGCAGTAGAGCACCCACACCCTAGCAACAGGTATTTTTTTCTTTTGTGAAGGTCATATAGAAAACACTTCTGCTGTTGTTAAACCTGACTTCAACTTAATCATAATTATGATTTATGATTCTCTTAATCAAACATTATCTCATGTTAAAATTATGAATTTTTTTGCTATCAACCTATGGACATTAGCACAGGGTAGCTGCTCAGTCTGCTAATGCTCAGCATGATGTGTTTTCATGTGTCATCTATGATCTTCTACAAAAGGTTTTCCATCTGGCTTCAGTCAGAACCACTAGCTTTACAGACTTGTATTGTACAAAAGTTTAATTCTTTCTGCTATCTGCAACCCAGTCCAATATATTATTTGCTGTCATCAATGTGACTTCATTTCTCAATGCAGTTGGCTTTCTTAGGTCTTGATTTGTGTGCTCTCTTGTAAGATTTCAACTCCACTTGAAATTTTTTTCCCACTCCCTAAAGAAAAAACTGTTGGCCTGGCAGGGTGGCTCACATCTGTAATCCTAGCACTCTGGGAAGCAGAGGTGGGAGGATACTCGAGGTCGGGAGTTTAAAATCAACAAGAGTGAGATCCTGTCTCTACTAAATATAGAAAAAAATTAGCTGGACAACTAGAAATATATAGAAAAAATTAGCCAGGCATGGTTGCATATGCCTGTAGTCCCAGCTGCTCCGGAGACTTAGGTGGGAGAATGGATTGAGCCCAGGAGTTTGGAGTTGCTGTGAGATAGGCTGATGTCACAGCACTCTAGCCTGGGCAACAGAGTGAGAAAAAGAAAAGAAAAGAAAA